CTCGGCCTCCCAAAGTGCTGGGATTGCAGGCGTGAGCCACTGTCTTTTCCTTAACTCTTCTCTGCACCCAGCAACTCAGAGGAAATGTGTTGATTTCCACCTTATTGCTGCTTGCATTATAATACTGGCTTCTCTCCTATCCCCACCTCCCTCACTCCCCTTTGCCAGTCTTTTAGGAATACTTTGTCTAGAGTAGAAAAGAAGACATTTATAGGCAGAAAAAGTTAGAATATGCTATTGACCTTCTGATGCAGACAACATTATGGGGGCAAACTGCTCTCTCTCAAGCCTGACCCAAAGATCACTTCCTATCATCCAACCATTGTAGATAATCTCCAAATATCGTTTATGCTCATAGCTACTTTAAATTACCATAGTTAATCCACCATCCTAGCATAACTCTGTATCACAGATTGTTCTTTGAATGGTTAATTATATTTCATTACAACTGGCTTCCACTGTTCCCCTCTATGTTTTGTTTTGTACATTCAAAAACATTATTCTGAAATGGTATCCATAGGCTTCACGAGATTCCCAAAGGGATCCAAGGCTGTATTAGTCAATTCTCACATAATAAAGACATACTCAAGACTGGGTAATTTATAAAGGAAAGAAGTTTAATTGACTCACAGTTCAGCATGGCTGTAGAGGCCTCAGGAAACTTACAACCGTGGTGGAAGTGGAAGCGAACATGTCCTTATGGCAACAGGAAAGAGAAGTATAAGCAAAAGGAGAAAAGTCCCTTGTAAAACCATCAGATCTTGTGAGAACTCACCCACGATTACGAGAACAGTGTGGAGGCAACCACCCCCATAATTCAATTACCTTCCACTGGGTCGCTCCCACGACACTTGGAGATTATGGGAACTACGATTTGAGATGAGATTTGGGTGCGGACACAGCCAAACCATATTAGACACACACAAAAAATTAAGAACCATGGATTAAGGGGCTATCATTGTTAAAATTTTCATGATAGATTTTGTGTAGATTATTTTGTAATCCAGATAATTATTGAACCTATAATCCTGGGTGGCCTGGACAGACTTAATATTCACCCAATTTGAGAATACTAGTGTGAAATGGCATTCCTAGGACTTGAGAAAGTTCCATTTAGGGTAAATAAAAGGAAGTAAGTAAGACTTCTCACAGCAGCTACTAACTGTGGAGCACTTATTCCAAAAGGTTAAAAATACAGGGTCAAAAAAGATACCTTTGATACATGAACAACTGAACATTAATAGACCACTCTGTGAATCATAGACTTTGGGGTGCTTTTAGGTTGGGGTATGGGAGTCCATCCAGACATTCCTTGAAGGGCCTCTGGTGCTCCATTAGGTCCAGTTCTGGTCTTAGATCAGTTCAGGAAATCCTTATTTTTTTTCCTGTGGAGTGTTGTGAAGGCCTAGTGAAGAATTGTCGTCTTTGTGTTTACCTCCTCACTGTCACTCCAAAATGCTTGAATGCACTACTTGTTCTCTCTTGCTTGTGCACAGGTTGGACAGATGCAGATTCTGAGACAACAGATTGCCAATGAATTAAATTATTCTTGTCGGTTTGACTCTAAACATCTGGCAGCTGCTCTGGAGAATCTCAATAAGTAAGTGCCAGGGTTTGAAACAGCCATCCGTGGGCTTGGATTGTTTATCATCTAAGTGCCCCGGTTTCTTCAATTCTTACTGTCTTAAGTTATTTTTGGGTGGGAGGTCTGAATTTATAGGCTTCCTTGCCACGGATAATCAAATCTGTCTTCAGGAGTCTCTTTTCTCAATATTGTCCCTCCGTTTATCTCTGTCTCTCACTCACTTTCTCTAATGGATTCGTGTATTCATCTGGCATGTACTGATCACATGATTCAATACGTGTCAGCTGAATAAATGAATTCATTAGAGAGAGCAAGTAAGAGACACACCAGACACTGCTAGATACTTGCACAGGTTTTAGAAAGCAATTATTACCGAAATCCACAACTGGCTTTTTACAGGGCTGATTGCTCATCATCCAGAGGGCAGTTGGAAGTGTGTTGATTACCAAGAGTGGTTATGGAGGCCTGTCCCAGAGGGAACTCATATCCTCCGCCTCACCAGCAACCTGCTGTCATTTGAGGCTGCCTACTTACAGATAAATCCCTGCTTCTCACTCACCAAGTCAGTGCTTTTGACAAAGCAGATATTAAGAACAATTCAGTCAATATATGATGATTTGAACGGTGAATGCATTTGATTGAGGTTGATTCCAAAAGATAAAGTAATTCTAGGTCAAATTTTCCACTTAAAACCAATCACAGGCATGGATTGAGAATTAGCGGGATCAAGCTCTCATTTTACAAATGAGGAAACTGAGGCTTGAAAAGATTACGTCACTGGCCTGTATTAACTCTTGTATAAACTCATTTAATCCCTAATGTTTATCTCCGGGGTTTTTCTTCGTTTAGGGCTCTCCTAGCAGACATTGAAGCCCACTATCAGGACCCTTCACTTCCTTATCCCAAAGAAGATAACACACTTTTATATGAAATCACAGCCTATCTGGAGGCAGCTGGCATTCACAACCCACTGAATAAGGTGAATAATTAAAATATATAATGGCGGGGGTTGGGGTACAGAATGGTATTTGGCCCAGGTAACAGATTACTGTGTAGAAATACCAGAGGAACCTGCGTTCAGACCCCAGAACCTTCATTCCATTCAGTTCCCTGCCCTTTCTAAGCAATCATCATACTTTCCCCGCCTGGCTTGGGTCTGGGAGAATCAAGTGCTATAGCGCTGGTGAAAGCTCATGACAAAGGGGAAAGTGCTGCATCCGTGTAAGAGATGAGTTTTGGGTTTCACTGGGGTTTGCAGTTCAGTCATCAAGGCCCAACAAACCCAAAATGGTAGCATTGATCTGTCTTGCCAAAGATGCTTCCCCTTGTGGCTGACGGTAATCCCAGTCATCACAGGAGCTACAAACTCTTTTCTGCAGTTGTGAGCTCAGAAAACCTCTAAGAACTGAAAGTTTTTTCATAACTCAGTGCCCGGTCTCTCTGCGTGGCAAAATCTGTCCTGAGCTGACATAAGGCTGTTTATACTAGTTATTTATCCTTCTTACTATAAACATTCATATATTTTGATGCAGACTTTGATTATAGTGCATTACTGACTTTGATTATAGCGCATTACCCTAGCCCCTATATTGTCTTTCTAAAATCTATAAAATTTGAAATTCTGAAATCTGTATTATCCCTTGTGTTTTGGATAAAAGATTATAGACCTGAATAGTAGCTAACGTCTTGAATATTTACTGCGTAACAAGTGCACTGTCTTAACCCTGATGGTGGATTATCTCACTTCATCTCACAACAAGCCCTGTGAAATACACCATTATGAGTTGAGGAACCCGAGGCTCAGAGAGGCTAGCTAGCAAGTGGAGGAGCCAGGCAGTCTGACCAGAGCCTGTGCTTCTGACCCGTGTGCTACCCTGTCTCCTGTGGAATCGGCCAGCTGGGAGTCTGGACCCAGCCGTGTATGCCCTGACTATAGTTTCTGCCGTGACATCTGGGAGACTGCTCTTTGACATTGCCTAGGGGACAGCAAATGACAAGAACTTTGCTCTCTTTCTACTTAGATACTACCAGTCGCTGC